ATTTTTCTTTGAGGTTACCCTATGATTTATAATTTTCTCCCTGAGTTTAGAACAGTCCATTCTATCTTGCAACTCTCTTAACTTCCTCACCATTTAGAAGAAGGTGTGGGTATAGTTGTATCTTATGGGGACTGTTGCTGTCTCCCACTCAGTTAGACAAAAATTACAATTGAATAACCGTTAAAAAACTAAAATCACATGGACAAAAAAATACACCATGTAATCACACAGGAACAGTAACCAAAAAAAGGGAAAAAGAAGAAGAAGAAGAAAAAGAAAACCTGCAATATCTGGGGATAGGGCACTAAGAGAAAAAAGGTAGAGGAGGAGAATAATGAAGAAAAAAATGGGAAAAATGCAAAAAGAAAAACAAGGAATGGGGTTAACCATGAGAAAAAAAGGGGGGAAAAGTATTTAAATTAAGAAAATTTTTTTTTTCAACCAGGAACAAGGAAAAGAAAAAAAAAAAAGCTGTAAACTAGGACCTGGGGGGCAGGGGGAGAATAAAGAATAATAGCAAAAAGGACAAAAGTAGTAATAATAATAGTAGATTGAAAACAGACAAATACAAGTAAACTAAACACCAGAAAAAAGAAAGAGAAAAAGAAAACAATCGATGGAGGACAGGGCAGGGCGCCCAGGCTCCGTCCAAACACACAGACTGGGATGGAATTCCTGTGGGCCCAGAAGGTGGGTGGGAGTGGGGGATGGCCGCACTTCTGTTCACCAAAAGAGTGTGGGGCATAAGAGTAACAAGAGGAATGTTGCACCTTTTTAGTCGTGCTGGTCTGGAGTGTCCTTCGGGTTGCTGGCAAGCAGAACCTATTCTCAAGTCCCTGGAATCGGGGAGAGGGCTGTCTCTTTAAATATTCAAAATGGTCAAGCTGCTTGTAAACATTCAAAATGGCGGCGCACTCCATACAGGCAAAAGTCCACAGCTCAGCCCACCTTTCTCTTCGCCTTCTCCGTTTATTCTCCAGCCACCAGAGCTGTCCTCCGTGCAGTCCCTGGCTAGCAGGGCTGATTTTTAGGTTAATTCTTAGGTCCTACCACCACTTGGCACTCTCCACGCTGCCTGTGCCATCAGGATCACTCAGGATCGCTGTCAGACCGCAGTTCCGTATGTCTCCTTTTTTGGTATTTTCATGCAAATTCTTCTGCCAGTTGGGGTTTAGTCCACCTCTATATCCTTCCCTTCAAGGCTCAGGGGTCCAGGATTATCTTCTGTGTCTGTGTTAATTGGTTCCCCTTTTCTTTGTTGAAGAGAGTCTATGCAGTCTTTCTGCCTATTCTGCCATCTCGGACAGGACTCTACATTAGTTATGTAAACTTTCACCAAAAACTCAATACAATAGTACTTTAAAAAATTGTGTGAGAAGCAAATGAAGGAACTCACTGCTGTCAAGTCGGATCCGACTCATAGTGACCTCTCCTTGGGTTTCCGAGGCAGTATCTCTATGGAAGTAGATTGCCCAACTCTCCTTCTGAGGAGTGGCTGGTGGTGGTTCAGCCTTCTGGTTAGCAGTCAAATGCCTTAGGCACTAGGCTACCAAGGCTCCCATTCAAAAAATAGAGAGAAAGAGAGAAAAAAAAGAACTAGAGTATTGATATATGCCACAACACGGATAAACCACGAAAACATAGGACCTAGTAAAAGAAGCAAGTTACGAAATGTCATATACTGTATGCCCAGAGCAAGCAAATCCATGGACAGAAACCAGATCGGGCTGCCTAGGCTTTGCGGGGTGAGTGGGAGAGCTGTGTGTGTGTGTGTGTGTGTGTGTGTATGTGTGTGTGTGATGTTGCACAAGTTTGTGAATGTACTAAAAATTACTGAAAATACTGAATTGTAATTTAATTGTAATTTAAATGAGTGAATTGTATGGCATGTGCATTGTATCTCAATACAGCTGTTAAAACATTATGTACAGTATTACCCTTTCTAAAATGAAGAAATACATAAAAATACTATCAATACATCTTCATACCTACCTATGCATATAGAAATGCTGCCATGCAGCTGACTCCCACTCCCAGTGCACCTTGTGTTACAGAGCATAATGGCCCAGTGCAGTAGAGCTGGAATCTTTATGGAAGCAGGTCACCAGTCTGTCCTCCACAGCTGGTCACTGGGGAGATTCAAACTACCAGCCTTTGAGCTAGTGGTTGAGTAGCAGCTGCTCTCACCACCCAGGGGCCTTCCACACACAGATGCGGATACATATTCATACATGTGAAGATTGGGAAGGAGCACAGATACACCCCCAGTGACCATCTTAGGTGCTGGGTTTACGGAGATTTTTTGTTCTTTTTACTTCGTTGTACTTTCTACTATGACTACGTACCACTTCAGTAAAAATAACAAAACAAGTTTTCTGTTTTTCTTTAAGAACAGTTGATTTTTGTAATTGAAAGCCAATCAATCAAGTAAGTGCTAAAGTCCCTTTCCAGCCCTGCTAGTGACTGAGTAGCACTCAAACAGGCATTCTCTAAGTGTTACCTTGTCCACGTGGAGGGGCACTGCAAACCTCTTGAGGGTGGGTGTGGAGGTGAGCTTGGAGTTCTCTGCGAAGTCCTGGTTCAGGTTGGCCAAGTAGAAGAGCTGGTAGAGGCTGCTGTCCTTGTAGGCGATGACGTCAAATAGTATGCAGCCATCCTCCTCGTAGGCATTGACGTGATGGAAGACGACCATGGGGTCCGTGTAATACTTGGTCCCTATGGGCTTCCTAGTCCTCTGGTCAATGATGTGGATGTGAGTCTGGAGGAAGGTGGACATGAAGCGTTCAGCTCCCCTCCTGATGGCCTTGCTCCATGCCATCCTGGGCTGGACTAAACCCAGCTCTGTCCTCCACTCCCCATCCTGAGCCTGGTGTCCTACCTCAAAAAGGCCGGACACCAACATCGCTCAATATATGGGTGCTGTTTCTTGCTGCACTTCCGTGATCATGTCTTTGCAATGAAGAGGGAAGCTTTGCTGCCCTGGCCTCTGGAGTGGCCACAGGACAGTATTTGGGTTGAGGATGTGCTGTCCCCTCATTCAACTGACTGACTTATGGTGTTTCTGAGCAGGTGGTGACACACCAGCTCCCTAGCAATACCTAAGCTAGGGAGACCATGCCATATGCCATGGTCCTTGAGGCTCCCTAGGACCCCATCCAGGAGACCCTAAAACCATGAAACCACTGCTGCCCTTCTGAGATTTCACCCTCACCTCCCAGCCAGCTGTTTCCAGATTGCCAGCGCGGGGTTGCCATACCAGTGCCAACCCTGCCTTCCCTGGAGGGCTGCAGTGTGGCGTGACCCTGCCCCATGCGAAGCACCTCGCTGGGGGAGTATCGGCTCATTAGGCATCTCTCTGGGCGGCACAGGCCAGTATCACTCTGGGTGGTAATTAGCCATATCTGCAGCCCAGGTTGCCTAATGTGGAGAAGATGGGGTGTTTTCTTTCTTCCTGCAGCTTGGCCTACCAGTCCTCCTTCCCCAAGGGAGGGACTGCTCTGGGCTGTTTTCTCACCACCTCTCTCCCTGTCTTGTTTGCCTCTTTCTCCCCTCGCCCAGAATCAAACACTGAATTTTAAGCAACAGTACAAAAGAGGAAGGCTTTGACAGTGCTGGAAGAGTGTTCTGCATGAGATCAATACACCAGACCAAACTAAACTCACTGCCATCAAGTCGGACCCAACTCATAGCGAACCCTCCTTGGGTTTCCGAGATGGTATCACTATGGAAGTAGATTGCCCACCCTTCCTTCTGAGAAGTGGTTGGTGGGTTTGAACCACCAGCCTTCTGGTCAGCAGTCAAGTGCCTTAGGCACTATGCCAGCCACAAATGGGCAAGTGTAGGTGTACGTATAGGGCACTGTGTGTGAGTGCACAGAAAGGGGAGTGGAAGCATGTGCACTTGGTGGTGGGCTCCTCCAGAGAGGGGAAGAGAGGGAACAGGGAGACCCAAGGGAAGGGGCCTTCCATGTGTTGCCTTCTATCCTCCTGCACTATTTGAATAGGTAACAATGAAAATTACTTGCTTTTTTTTTTTTTTTAAAGTAACATCAGCACAAAAAATAAAATAAAAACTTCAAGCATTCAGGTGTACCTCAAAGGAAGAGGACACTTCTACCGTGTTATCTGCTGGGAGGGTCTGTCACTTGGATGTCTAAATGGTCTATGACACCGACCTACCCTGACATTACACAGTGGTGGGGAGGTGCCAAAGGGGCTTGGGGAGTGGGTGGTCTCATTCCAGGCTCCTAGGCGGACGGCTTTGGCTGGCAAGAGTCTCTTCGCTAGAGGTCACACTCCCTTCTCCAGCACAATCTCCCCAATGACTTATAGGGAATAAGGGTCTGGCCCTGTTACCCCAATACAAGTTAGCTCTGAAGGACCACCCCAGCTTCAGAACTCTCTGGAGGGCTGGCTGATGTCACAGGTGAGGACACGTGGTGGCTCACCTCTTCCTCCTCCCAACCCTGCCTCCTCCTCTCCACTGGACTCCACCCCAAGGCCATTCCTAACAACCCCTGCGACACTCTCCGCCATGCACCCTCCTGTTGCAGGGCCAGCAGCTCCAACCTGGACCAGAGGCACCGGCCAGGCCTCACCTTGTCCTCCCTGTGGAAGGTCATGCATGATGCCCAGCTCACTCCGCGCATGTACGCAGTTGCCATCTTGAGAATATCCAACTTGAAGGGCTGCTCCAGGAAAACAATGTAGTTCTCGGTGATGCCAAAGCTGTGGTAGTAGCTCGGGGAGAGCAGGGAGTGTGAGGGGATGGAGCAGAACACCTCTGTGTGCCTCAAGCAGCTCTTGCCCTTCTTCTTGTCCTCTAGAGAAAACAGATCCTCAGGAATGGTGCAACAACACCGCCACCCACAGCTGAGCTTCTAAAACTCATGCTGCTGCCCAGAAGTGAGAGCCAACTCAGAGATCAGATGAAAGAGGACAGCGGCTCAGAGACCTCATTGTCTGGCCCTGGTCTATAATCGGAAAACCACTGAGCCACAGTTAGGTCTCTAGCCTGGGGTTGGCAGACTGTTGCCCGGGGGCCAAATTCACTTTGCCACCTGCTTTGTAAATAATGTTTTATGGGAACATAGGCCCTATCTATGGATGCCTCTCCTTTTGAGCTACAATGGCAGAGACCCTATGGTTTGCAAACCCTCACATATTTACTACCTGGCCCTTTACTGAAAAAAATCTACTGACCCCTGCTCCTGCTTTGGAAAGTGCTTCTCAAACTTTAACGTGCACATGAATCATGTGGGGAGCATGTGAAATGTGGAGTCTGCTTCAGCAGGCCAGGTGGGACCTGGGGTTCTGCACTTCTATCCAGCTCCCAGTGACGGCCAGGCATCCCAGGATTAAGCTCTGGTTTTTCACTGGGGACCATCTGACACATGCATCACAGGGTGTCCATGAATTTCTCTTGGCACTGCCCACCCTGAAACGCTTGAGAATCGGATTAAGTACCTATTAAATGAGGGGCTTTTTAATATGTCTTGACAATCAACGTGGGCTTTATGATCCCTGTTTTACAGATGGGAAACTGATGCTTAGGTGGAACGGTCTGTCACTATGACCAAAGTTACGGAGTTAAGCCAAGAAGAAACACTCCTCAGCCTTGGCTTCTTCTGTTATTAGTGAGTGCAGGTAGAGAACAGAATGAAACACTGTAGAGTTCAGGTACATGCCCAGTGCCCAGGACACTGAGAGTGCTTGATGCGTGTTTGTGGTGCTTATTCCTGTACACAGAGTCATCCACTGACCACAGGCCTTCCCACCCAGGCCTGGGGCCAGCTAATAATGAGTTATTTGCAAGCCTCCTGGCCTTCCAGATGGCCACCTGTGTTTACTGATAAACAGCTGGCTAATGGGAGGGCTGCCGTGGGGCTGTGGGACAGGTCTTTTGTTTACAAAACAAATGAGCACAATATACCCTGTAATGGAAAGGACCTGGGCCTGGGAGGTGCAGGCCCGTGGAAATCTCAGTGCAGCCTGGCACCTCGACTCAGAGAGTAAATGCTTGAGTGACATCAGCAGTTCCTGCAAGCTGTGTGACCGTGGGCATGCCACCTGACTCCCCGGGCCTCACTCACTGTCCTCTAATATGAGGGGGCAAACTTAAATGCCCGGTGATCTCCAGATCTGCCGTTCTAGCTTTGGAGTAAGATCCTAGCCTTCCCTTCTTGGCTTCATTAATGGGATTCCATGGAACAAGAACGGGCTGCGTGTCGGCCAGATACTCCTTGTGCTCAGACCTTGGGGCCTGGCACCACCCAGCAGAGCCTGGAAATTTGCTCAAGAGGTTCCACAGAACTAGGAACCATGGATGGAAATCAGTATCCCTAAGCCAAGAGGCAGGCCAAGCACCCTGTGGTTCTGCACTCTGTCTCTGGAGTCCTGTACTGCTGGCCTTTAGAGGCCTCATCTCCTGGGTGTGGCTCCCAGGAGGGTTCTGGACAAACATGACCTAGAAACCCTGCCCTCCTCCCCCTCAGAAACATATAATTGGCCTGGGCTATGCTCCAGGATCTCAGCCCTCAATGGCGAAGGTCCAGGAAGCCCAGAGCACAGGGTGGGGACCTGGAATGGATCCCGGCAGGGCTAAGCTCCCTGAACAGCCCTAGGAGCCTGGCTTTGGGGGCTGGGGATGAGAGTGGGTGGTACAACCCTGGCAAAGGAGGTTTGTCAGAAGTCTGAAGGATGGATAAATGGATGGGTGAGTGGGTGGATGGAAGGATGGTTGGAGGGAGGTGTGCATAAGTGGTTGGTTGGTTGGATGGACAGATAGATGGATGAATTAAGGAATGGATAAACTGGAGCCTAAAGAAAAGGAGATTAGAACAGAAAGTGGATCTTCTCCTTCTATCTTTCCTAAAAGCAGCCCAGGAACTCTTTTAGTCTGAATGAGAATACTGAATTCATGGCGATCTGAATGAATGGAGGAAAATGTCAGACTAAGTCTGCAGAAGGTGCCATCTTTGGCCATCTGTGCTTCCCGATGCCCATAGAGGATAGGAGTTTGGATGACACCTACCTGGTACTGTGGCAGGGATCTTAAATATCACATATTTCGTCTTCCCCTTGTCCACAATGGATGTGCCCATGTTGAGAACGTTTCCAGCCGCATCATAATGAGGATGTGATGTTGCCAGATTTACAGCTACGTATTTACGATAATCAACCTGCAAAAAAAGACAGCCATTTGGCTTAAAAGGGGAGGTGGTGAAACCCTGTGAAAACCTGACTTGTTCTAGATTCAGAGAGCCAATAGATAGGCTCAGACATCACCTGAACCAGAAATAAAAAATAACTCATCTCAAAAGAGGACGTTTACTCTTGGCTTAGAGAAAGAACCTCAAGAGGCACCTCCTACGGTAAACAGGTTGCAAGAGAGCAGTGAGCTGGTTGTGTGTTTCTGGCACTTGTTCCAACGCTGCTGGCCTGTCCTCAGCATTGGAGACAGGATGCCTGACTACAGAAAGCTCTAGCAGTTGCCTGAGTGGAGGGGCAGCCTTAGAGCTAATCTTGGCTGCCAGTCTGGTTAAGTCACTTAAATTCTCCCCTCCTGAACTCCACAGAGGCATAGAGCACCAGACCTCTCTGATAGAATTATTCTGGGAACGGAGAGGTTGTAAGAACATTTGGCAATAGTGAAACTCAGTGAACAAGGAGAATGATGACTCCCTGCTCTGAACCAGCCACAACTATAAAACAGTGGGATGGCCAAGGACCAGCTGTCCACCCTTCCTCCCCTAGAACAGAACAGCCTCTAGTCAAGAGTCAGGTAATTCTCCACTCTCTCCCAGCATTACTCTCTGTCACTTTGTGGACAACATACATCAGCTGGATCTAAGCTGCCTTGGTTAAAAGGAGCTGACATAATTTCACAGCTAAGAAAAGCACTCCTAATAGATTGTTAAAATGTATTGTGAAATCATCAAAGCTTTGAAGAGCCAGCTGGAGAAAACTGAAAGTGGGTTTATTGATTCTCAAGGAAATGTTGACTTGATTCTCCCTAGGAAAGGCATCTGCCTAGGCATTGATTTGCGTGCCCTTGCTCTCTGCCTAATGCCTCCCATTAGGGACGGCTGCTGGAAATCACGCTGCTGGGCGTTCAGGCGTCATTCATTCAGATTCTCAGGGAGCTCCTACTCAGTGCTAAGAACTGTAGACACAAAGAAGGAGATGACGAGTCCTTGGCCTAGTGCTCAGTGCTAGGGGAAGCCCAGGATCCCCCAGAATCAGAGGAGGGGGCTCCTGCAGTTCCCTGCAAGCCAAGAGGGTCTCACTCATGGGCCCCTTCTTGAGTCAGGGAGTGATGGTCGTTGCTGATTTGCTGATACCTTCTCCAGAGTTTCCAGACTCTGTGGGTTGATTTTCCTGATGTAATTGGTCTCTGTGGTTGCATAGAAGTCTTCCCCACACTTCATGATGTTAATAAGGCAGTTGTCTGTGAAATCTGGGATGGTGTGGGACAAGTAGGAGAAAGCTCTAGGAAGAAAAGCGGATCAAAGAGTCAGTGACCATGTTTATTGCTGGAAGGTTTTGATCTAGATGGCCCTATTTTCCTACCACATAAAACGCTGCACTTCAATTAAAGGGAAAAAAAATACTGGGTCCCAATGGGCTATTTAAGGAATCTTGAGAACTCAGATATCAATTTGCCAAAGACACTATCATCCTGAGTCAGTGAAGAAGTGAGTCAGCTAGTAGCCACTGGTCCTCCCAGGCTCTCAAAAATCCAAAGGTCCCCAACCCCTAGAGTCAATAGACCTGGTGGGTTATTCTGAAAAATTTAGAGATGTCCACAGAAACAATGCATATACCATAATGGCCCCCAAGACTAGCAAACAGTGAATCCCAGCTGTGGGTAGGAAGGTGAGTCCACACGGGTTTCTTCAAATTTATCAATCAGTGTTAAAAAAAAAAAGTAAATAAACTTCTCAAACCAAGTATATGAGTTCTTAATTAATAATTAGTTTGATTTCAAGGTAACTCAAAGCAGGAAGAAAGAAAAATCAAAGGCGTCATTGGTAGTGAAGTTGGCTAGTACTGGGCCTGTGGATTGGTTAGTGCTCCCCCTACTGACCAACAGTGTAGCAGCAAGGATGCCTTAGAGATGTTACGTGCCATGGAGCCAGCCCTGGCTCACAGCTATCCCTCCTTGGGTTTCAGAGGTGGTGTCTCTACGGAAGTAGATTGCCCCACCTTCCTTCAGAGGAGCAGCTGGGGGGTTTGAACCGCCAGCCTTCTGGTAGCAGTTAAGTGCCTTAGGCCCTATGCCACCAGGGCTCCCTCCTTAGAGATAGAGTTTTAAATTCCCTCCCTCCCTTTCTGGCTCCTCCCCACTCCCTCTGTGCCAGCCCCAGCACTGGACCCAGACTGGAGAGGTGATCTCATTTCTGGAAAAGCAGAATCACTCTTTCATCACCTGGCCTCTGAGGGCACACCTGATTTCTCGGCCAACAAGGTAACTGCTGAACACACAGTACATTCATATGTATCATAATCCAGGTGATTTGAAATGGAGACAGCTAAAAATCCCCTCTTCTTGCCCCCCCCCCATCCGCCTGCTTCCTATTTCCCTTGGGGATCTTTCCAGAGTTTATGCATCTATAAGCAAAAGCAAGTCCAGGTTCCCTTCGCCCTTTTCACACCAAACAGAGCCTATTCATGCTTTCACCCTCCGTTTGTCTTCCCCACTTTGCAACACGCCTTGGAATCTCTCCTACAGTGCACAGAGAGCACCTTCCCTCTTGTTTACTCCTTCTGGTCTTCTCGGGTATGGTTCTACCGTTCTTAATTTGCCCAATGCCCTGCTGATGGACCTTTGGGCTATTTTCAGCTTCTTGTTATTACAAATAATGCAGGTATGAATTGCTTTGAACATTGGTCATCTCAGACACGAGCAACTGTATCTCAAGTTTGTTGATGTACGTTTGTCATGTCTGTTTCCCAACTTGCCCTCTGCTAGCCGTGTGGGAGAGCAGCTCATGGACCCTGGTGGCGCTGTGGCTGAGCCCCCGCTGCTAACTGAAAGGCCCACAGTTTGAAATCGCCAGCCGCTCCACAGGAGAGAGATGCGGCAGGCTTGGAGACCCCATGGGGGCAGTTCTACTCTGTCCTGTTGGGTCACTATGAGTAGGAGGACACTCGACAGCAATGGGCTTCGTTTAGGTTTTAGATGCCTCTGTTGCTAGCAGGGATCAAGAACTGTGCAGCACATGTGACCTAAGGCCAGGCATGGGTACCCGGAAGAGAGCAGTCAGAGGGGCCAGTGCTAGGTGTTTTGACAATCAAGAATACTGAAAAGCTTGACCACATTCAAAATGGACAGTTACTTGGAAAATATGTTCTTGCAGGGGTCTGGATAGGCCATTGTTCCGAACTCTGACACCACAATCCTGTTTGCCTCGATATTCGCGTTGTAGGTATCACTTCTCAGGTATTTGCTCCTGTAATAGACTTCACCTGAAAGAGAAGCAGCAGCATGATGTCAGGTTGGCACCTTTATAGGGCTTTAAATTCTATTGCAGCCCAGGGCGGTTTGTCTTTTTTTTTTTCCGCAGGGGGGTTGGTGTGGTGTTAGTCTCCTTTAACATGTGCTCCTGATACAACTAGCCTTCACGTGTGTTTCAGCACATTTAACTCGACCCACTGTACTGCAGAAAGGCAAGTACCCCAGTATTTATTAGTTTCATTTTACATGTGAGGGAACCAAGGCTCAGAAACATTCAGTCACCCCCTCCCAGGGCTGCCAGTGGAAGAGGTGTTGAACCAGCCCCCTGACCTCCATCCCATCATATTGGCATCCTTCCAGGTGAAGGCCACATGATTTCTGCAGGTGCACCTCTGATCCTGCAAATCTGATCCTTCAGATGGTAGTTGACAATTGCAGCCACAGTTGGCAGTTTAAATCCAGCAGACACTCCGTGGAAGGAATGGGGGGCAATCTATTTCCATAAAGATTTACCACCTCGGAAAGCCAATGGGGGTTGCTGTGAGTCAGAATCGACTTGCTGGCAGTGAGTTTGGTTTTTGCTTTGGTAGTAACATTAAGGAACTCTGGTGGCGCTGTGGTTAAAACATCGGGCTGCTCACCAAAAGGTCAGTGGTTTAAATTTACCAGCCACTCCATGGAAGAAAGATGAGGCAGTCTGCTTCTGTAATGATTTACAGCCTTGGAAACCCTATGGGGACAGTTCCAGTCTGTCACTATGAGTCAGAATCAACTGGATGGCAGTTTTTTATTAGCATTTAACATCTCCTACCACCAGAGGGCGATCTAACCCCCAGATCTTTGTACAGTGGAAGGTTAGTCCTTGTACACCTACCTACCCCTTTTCTGTTAAGGAGGCCCTGGGTTCATGCATTCAACAAATATTTATTAAACACTTTGATAGGCCAGGAAGTGTGGGTATAACAGCAGGATGGGCAAGGTCCTACTCCTAAGGAGTTAAAGTCACTATGTGGGTCTGAATCCTTGCTTTAAGTATTCATAGGTTGTTGTCCTGGATTTTCTACCAGCAATATGCTTGATCTTGTGTCAGGGGCGAGCCTCAGTCCTCTCCTCTGTGACATGAGGGTCATATTTCTCACACAGTTGCCGTGACACGCAAGGTTTGTAAAGTACCTGCAGTGAGATGGATTGACACAGTACCCTCCACAAGGACTGAAACATAGCAATAGTTCAGAACGAGGAAACGCTTCCTTCTGTAATACATTAGGTCACTATGAATCAGAACCTAGTCAATGGCAACCACCACCTCAACAGAAGTACTTAGCACACACTAAGTGCTCAATAAAAGCCACATACAATGCAGTAGACATGGTGGTCAATGGCTCTGGGGTTAGTCAGAATCCATGTGGTCTTAGATAAGTCTCTTAATCTCATTGTACCTCAGTTTCCTCATCTGGAAGCTGGGAGAGATATATCCCACCTTCACAGGGTTGGCACTTTCCTATGAGATGATGGAAAGTGGTTAGTTCACTGCCTGGCACACAGCATGACCTCAATAGGTGAAGGCTGCTGTAATTCTGGATTGTCCAAAAAATCCTGGTCATCATGGTCTCCCCTGGGCCAGCCTGCTCTTTGCTGGTCACTTTTGAAAGACATCACCCTCTAAGCACTGACTAGTATTATTTGGCACTGTGAGCACTTTGTCTGAAATGCTCAGTTCTGTTCATTTTAATTGGACCTAAATCACAATACAAAGTTTAGGAAAAAAAGAAAAAGAAAAAGGAAATGTAAACATTCGACCAAGGCTGGTTGTTTATTTCCTATAAAGGGCCAGCCACAGGGCACGGAGCTCCCAGGGGCCCTTGTAGAATGTGTCTCTGGACTTGCTCAAGGCGGGTGCTCAACTTTGAGGTTGAGATGAATGGGGGAGTCATAGCACATTCTCCACATCCTGGGTTGGGGAGCCCAATTAGCCACATTCCTTTCTAAGGGACCCAAGTAAGGAGACGTGTTACTGCCTGGGATCTCCTAGAACTGAGTCAAGTTGGATATTTTTGGAGGGGAGGAGGGGAGACATTTATTTGGGGACAAAAGCAAACTTTTTTTTAAAAAAAGATCTTTAAAAATTTTTCATTGACTACAACTTCTCACAATGCAACAGCTCCCCTCCCACTTGCTCCCCATAGTTACCTTTTCCCTGTTCTGCTGCCAACAAATGAGTCCCCCCTCGCCCCCATGCACTCCTGCCCCGAAATATGTCCTGTGCATACACAGCCCTTCTACTCTCCCATGATTGTTCTCTCCAAGGAGTGTATCTACCTGGTACAAACTTTCCAAAAAGCTATCTCGGAACTAGCACAATGGAAAATACAAGCCTTGGAAAGGCAAACTTCTCAAGAGCCCTTGTGTCCTGCACATGGTGACTCTGGCCCTCGGAATTCATACATTCAAACCCTTGCAGGACACTTGCCACGACTTTGCCTCTTGTCAGAAACTATCAAAGGTACATTTTCTGAGGGAGACCTGGGCACACTAATTTCGATGCCTACTTTTAAAAAACTTTTTATTTCAAAACAATTTGTCTTACAGAAAAGACATACAGATAAGAGAGTTAATGTGCAGTCTTACTCAGCTTCTCCTTCTTTCTCCTGTCTCCTTCATTTATTGTGCAAGATGAACTTACCACCTTGCCAAAGAACTTTGATCAACTTTCTAGGAAGGTTTGTGCTGGTGGTGGGCTAAAGAACGGCCCTCTACCAAAGTCCGCATCCTGAGCCCCAGAACCTGTGACTTCGCTACCTTATACAGCAAAAGAGAGTTTGCAGAGGTGTTAAGGATTTTGAGATGGGAGGTCACACTGGTGTAACCAGATGGGCCCATTGTCATCATGAGGGTCCTTATAAGAAGGAGGCAAGAACATCAGTATCAGAGAAGGAGAGATGATGGCAGAGGCAGACAGAGAGACTGGAAGATGCTATGTTGCTAGCTTTGAACATGAAGATGGGGCCATGAGTCAAGGAACGAGGTGGCCTCTGTTGTTGTTGTTGTTATGTGCCTTGGAGTCGGATCTGACTCATGGCGACCCCTCCTTGGGTTTCCGAGGCGGTATTACTACAGAAGTAGATTGTCCAACCTTCCTTCTGAGGAGTGGCTGGTGGGTTTGAACCTCTGACCTTCTGGTTAGCTGTCAAGTGCCTTATGCACTAGGCTACCAGAACTCCTAGGTGGCCTCTAGAAGCAAGAAAAGGTAAGGAAATGATTTTCCCCTAGAGCCACCAGAGGAATGCAGCTCTGCCATCCTGTTGGACTTCTGGCCTCAGAACTCTAAGAGAATAACTTTATATTGTTTTAAGCTACTAAGTTTGTAGTAAGTAGTTACAGTGGCAATAGGAAACACATACAGTGCTCTTACTGTCTCTAATTGTGAAGCTGTGGAGCAAGGCCAGGCCATCAAACCAGTGGTTGTACCTGGTCTCCCCCACCGTGTGCATCCCAGGCCCATTCCGAAGCAGGGTTCCCTGCAGCCATGTTGGAATCTTGCCTGTTAAGAGAAAGAATGGTTAGTTTCCAGTTTCTAAGTCCAAACCAAAAAGCTAGAAGAAATGGCCATGGAATTAAGGCCATGTGGTTTCATATTAGTAGCTCTGGGTTACAGTAGTTAAAGTATTCAGCTGCTAACCAAAACGCTGGTGGTTCAGGTCCACTAGCTGCTCTTTGGGAGAAAGATGAGGCCGTCTACTCCCGTAAAGATTTACACTCTTGGAAACTTTATGGAGCAGTTCTACGCTGTCCTGCAGGGTCACTAGAGTTGGAATCAACTCTATGGCAGTGGATTTGGTTTGGGTTCAGTTTCATAGCTGTCATGTGGGAGGCTCAGTCTAGAGCAGTAGTTATCAAACTTGGAATCACTCAGAAAGTTTGTGAAAACACAGATTTGCCAGGCTCCACCCTCAGAGTGTCTGACTCAGTGGTCTGGATTGGGGCCTGGGAATCTGTGTTCCTAATAAGCTCCCAGGTGATGCTGATGCTGCAGGTCTGGGCACCACACAATAAGAACCTCTCATCTATATGGGCTTCAGGGTCCATTCAGCCTCTCAGGTTCTATGGTGCTTGTTCTCTAAAATTTCCAAGGACATCAACGTAGCCATTAAACATGATTGGAGTGAGGTATAATGGCATGGCAAAATGTTCAAGGCATATTCCAGAGCATAAAATGGTAAGTATCACAGAATTCCTTTTTTAAATTAAAAATTAATAGCAAATATATATTTGCTTTTTGAAATTATACACACACACACACACACAATAAATCTGTCAATCTAGTCTATCTCTAAAAGCTCAAAGAAAACAGACCCAAATATTAATAGTGCTTAAGAGATAGGAACACAGCTGATCTTTATTTATTTCTATGTTCTCATTTATACTCCCTCATTTTAGACATACGTCCCTGGGGGCTGCAAATAGTCAACCTGTTCTGCTGCCAACAAATGAGTCCCCCCAGAAGCGCCACAGAAGAAAGGCCTGTTGATCTAGTTTTGACAAATCAGTCACTGAAACCTCTATAAGGCCCAGTTCTACTCTCACAGACATGGGGTCACCATGAGTCAGACTGACTGCATGGCAACTATATAGGTACCCATACAGATATGAAACATACACACTGTATATATATATATATATATATATATATATATATATATATATACACACACACACTATATTTATACATAAAAATATACTGTGTATATATATACATACATACATATACAAACATACATACACATACACAAACATACATACATTATACACACACACACACACACACACACAGTCTATATTTTTTCTGATTACAAAAAATATGTAAGGTCCTCCTTCAGCTGCAAAGCTGCAGTGTGCCTTTGTTGCCCAAGAGCAAGCACTGTTGTCCTCTTGGGAAAAATAATCAGCCCATCAATCAGAAGCTGAAGACGCCCAGGCGCCTTCTCACTGCTGCAGCCTGAGCTGACCCCATTAGCCATTCTCTGAACACTAAGCAAGTGCCACTAAGACACGAGTTGCCTGAGGGTGCAGACCCAGCCACTGCCCTTTAGAGTCTAAACAAGATAGTGCCAGGAAAGTGGCACCCCAAGAAAGGATGAGAAGTAACAGGTAAAGAAAACGAGATAGCAAGCTCCCTGAAGGGTTGTCCCTGAAGGGAATTCCCCTCTGGGCCTGTTTCGTCAGCTTTGCAGGCGCTCACTCACATGGTCACATCATTTCCGTGGGCGCTGGCAAGAAAAGCCCTTTGGAGCCAGTAATGCCCTCCAATGGTGCATGGGCCTGAGTGGGACCTCCTGCAAGCTTCTCCTTCCATTCTGAAATTAACTCAGGATACATACATTTGCACAGATATATCATGCATTTGGGATACGCAATATTTTGCAGTATAATCCTATTTATAATTTACATTACATTAGATGTTTGTATATAAACATATTAGGTATAGTCATTACAGTGTGTATCATATATTTACATACTGTTGTTGGGTGGTGTGGTCAAGTCCATTTCAACCCACAGCGATCCATTGTGACAGAGTAGAACTGTCCCATAGGGGTTTGTAGCCTGTAACTTTATAGAAGCAGATGGCAGTCTTTTCCTGCAGAGCTGCTGTGTAGGTTCAAACCACCAACCTTGCGGTCAGCAGCTGTTCGTGCCAGCAGGGCTCCTGCACACACATACACACACACACAGGTACATGCGCACACAGCCGCTGGAGCACTCCTGGGACCCTTCTTTTGGAAGCAGGGAGGACGGCCCCTCCCAGGCACAGGGAGTTGTAATGTACGTCAGTACACCTAGATTTGCATGGAGAATGCATCAAGTAATGGGCCGTTGTTTTCCTAGGTACCGTTTCTCAGATTTGCCAGAAAAAAAAAGTTTAATCATTAAAAAAAAATAATTATTACTTTCACAACCAGAAGAACAGTGTCCCTATAACCACAGAAGACAGATGGATCTTTTATATGAAAGTACCCCGCGGTCACCTGTCACTCGGGCCCTCACGGGCTCCTGGTGCTCTTTCTTATTTCTGCCAAATATGATCTCCATGGCCCGGCCCGAGCGGGGTGACAGCCTCTGTGAACAGTCTCTGCAGTGCTCTGGGACCGCTCTGCTCCTCCTCTCTCGCTCCTCTGCTCCTCAGCAGCCGGCCCCACCTGGATCAGCAGCTGCTCCCTCGGGCTTTCTTTGATTCCCACTGGCTCTAATTTCCCCTCTCCGGGGGCCTGGTGTCCCTTCCACCCCCAGGGAAAGCTGCACTGGCGTATTTATAGGATGTTTGGTCAAAGGTCAATTCCCTAGCTCTGGGAAGCTAGCTAATCTTTAATCCTCTCAGACCTCATCCCCTACTCTCTGTCTTCAGTCTCATTTTTGGCTCAACAAGGCAAACCTAAAACCGAACCCACCCCCTTGGGATATCCGTTCAGCCAAGCAACAGACAGGCCTATAAAGGGAATACTAACACCACAACCATACAGACCAAAAGGACCACATTTGCCCAAAAACAAAGTAGGGGGAGAGGCAGGGAAGAGTTACAATACGGAGATTGCAACTAATGCCACGAAACAAAAGGTGTATAAAGTGTTGAATGGAAAACTAAGTAAACTTTCCCTGAAACCACAATAAAAAACATGAAAAAAAGAAAAGCTAGCTGCTTGCTGGGCTCTGGACTGGTGGAGATAACTCAGGGCTTTCTGCTTGCTGTCTGACATGGGCCAGCCCGAGAGGTGGCGGGGGCTGATGACAGCAAGAAGAGAGGGGTCAGGACAGCTTCAAAGCCACAAGCATCCAGCATCCAGGAAGACTCAGAGCACTCCAACCCACGCAATGCACTCCAGCCGCATATCAAGGTTTTGTTTTCATTAAAGGCCCTTGGTGCTCTTGGTTAAAAAATTATGAAAGCAGCTCAATTCCTTGTTTTCTTTTTTGGAGAAGGAAACGCAAACTGTTTCTTGTATCTCAGGAAATCTACTTCTCTGGGGCAGCTGTGGCTGTGAGCGGAATAGGTCTGGCCAGCTGTGTGTCCTCCCTGTGCCATGGCACGCACAGCACTGAGCACTGGGGCCTCCGACCTGGCCCTCAGCGCGATGACAGCAGTGACCGTGGCCAATGTAGGCAGAATGATCTTTGGGCCGCCCTGATGGTTGGCCTTCCCTCAGGGGCCCAGACTGCTGCAGCAGTGACTGGAGGAGCTGTGACTATGGGGTCCACGCGGGTGGATTCAGTGCCATGGCCTTCATGGGGGCTGGAATCGGGGCCTCCTTCACAGCTGCCATGGCCAATGAGGGCGGAGTTGCTGCAGGTAGCTGGGTAAGTACTCTGCAGTTAGTGGGAGCAGCTGGACTCGCTCTGCCAGCCAACGCCCTCCTGGCCTCCCCTGGCCTTGCTCTCAGCCAGCGATGGTGCCCAGTCCTAGCTCCATGCCCTCCCCCTGCATCCTCCAAGAAGAAGACCAGTGGGGGCTCAGAGCAGCCAGCCTGGCTTGGTGAGGCATTCTCATCTTGCTGATGACCAGTCCCTGGGTGACTATTTACCAAACGTGGCACCCTAGCACCCCCAGAGGAAAATAAGGAATAGAGATGCATTGTTGCTGTTTTTTGTTTTGTTTTGTTAAAGATAGGTAGAGACAAGTACTGATTTAGGTGAAAAGAAAGGCAATGTACCAAATGTGAGTGATCACCATGGTGACCAAAAAAATTTTAAAAAATAAGAAAGTTTAAGTGAACCTATTTAAAAAATAATACAGGGAACCACAAACTCTTCTTAAGAACTACAAGGAAGAGTGAAAGTCAACTACAGCTCTGCTTGCTAGACCATTAAGAGGGAGCTATGATCATGAATGTGATTTTAGGTTTTCCCTGTTGTTGTAAATCTGGTGTGTGATGCTGTTGCCTGAAATCCATACTCTAGGTGCCATGAACTTTGGGTGATGAGTTAGGGATGACTTGTTGAAAGAAAAAAAGCCGTCATTCTCTCTACAGGTAGAGTAAGGAAAGGGTCTGGTGCTGGTCTTGTGCAACCCAGTTGAGTCCAGTGATTTTCCGATCCGACCTAAGACCATGTTCCGATGCCTTGGAGCTGTTCATTCTAGAGGGCAGCTGTGGTTCAGAGCTGGGTTCCAGCCCCGGCTGCCCATTCAAATCTTCTGGTTGGCATTTCCAAGTGCCAGGGCCCAGGCCCTACTCCAGAGCCACTGATTTAGGATCGCCAAAGGTGGAGGCCAGGAGTCAGTATTCTAAAATGGCTCTGTATTACTCAAAAGTGTGCAGTAGGCATTGAAAGATGCCACCTGTTGGAAGGTATACAAGACTCAATCCCACCTCCTCTACTTCTTCTGTCTAGGGTATGTTACTCACGCCCCTCGAGCCTCCATTTCCTTAACTGTACAAATAAAAAAAACCAAACTCACTGCCATCGAGTTGGTTCCGACTCATAGCAACCCCTCCTTTGGTTTCTGAGGCAGTATCTCTACAGAAGTAGATTGCCCAACCTTCCTTCTGAGGAGTGGCTGGTAGATTTGAACTACTAGCCTTCTAGTTAGCAGTCAAGTGCCTTGGGCACCAGGCTACCAGAGCTCCTCCCAGGGTCTCAAGGCTATTGTAAACAAAGGGTCTATCACAGTGCCTGGTTCTAACAGTAGTCAAATCAATGCCATTAGCCCCACCTCCCCAGTTCCTTAGAAGGCACTTCCCTTTGACCCGCATTTCCATTAAGTCCATAATTACTTACTTGGTAATGTTCTCTGCTATCTGGTCTAAACATGTATATCCATGTCAGGGTTATTTATTCCTAAATCCTTGTGAGAACTAAATGAGCATTTCTCACACAAATTAAGGGTTTAGGGGAAAATTAACACCCAGGGATGGCAGCGTGGTGCTGCTCAGGGCTTAGAGTTCGGAGGACTGGGTTTGTGTCTCAGCCCTGTGATTTCATAACTCTGCTGCTATTGCCACATGGCTTATTTGAACCTCACTTTCGAAACAATGGAGCTCTTGTGGCACTGTGGTTAAAGCACTGGGCTGCCAAAAGTTGGTGGTCCAAACCCACCAGCCACTCCATGGGAGAAAGAGGAGGTGGTCTGCTTCCAAGGCTTTCCAGCCTTGGAAATTCTATGGCACAATTCTCTTCTGTCCTATAGGGTTGCTATGAGTTGGAATTGACTCAATGGTAGTGGGTTTGAATTTGGTTCCAAACCCACTACCACTAAGTCAATTCTGACTCATGGCAACCCCATGTGTTCAAGAGTAGAACTGTGCAATTTTCTTGGCTGTAATCTTCACAGAAGGAGCTCTGGTAGCGTAGTGCCTAAAGCCCTTGACTGCTAATCAGAAGGCTGGCGGTTCAAACCCACCAGCCACTCCTCGGAAGGCAGATGGGGCAATCTACTTCTGTAGTGATATTGCCTCGGAAACCAAGGAGGGGTCGGTATGAGTCGGGTCTGACTCGATGGCACATAACAACAACAACACAAAGTGTTCACAGAAGCAGACTGCCAGGTGTTGCTTCTGCAGCACTGCTGGTTGGGTTCAAATCACCAACCTTTAGGTTAGCAGTGGGTCGCAAACTGTTTACAGTGTCTGGGAACTTTTAGAACCTCACTTTACATGTCTGCAAGATGGGGATGGTAGTATCTGTGTCACAGGGCTTACTGGAAGATTATAAGACATTTCTGTCAGTGGAAACCTGACTGCGTTTTATTAGCAGTCCTTCACGTAATCCCTACACTCCCTGCAAGGGCGTCACCAGCAATCTTGTCTCTGGAGCCTCTGAGATGTACAGTAACTTGATCAAGCCCCAGAGCCGACTGTGCATGCATGCTCTTCCCCATCACACGGCAATGCCTCCCATTTGTCGGAGCTGCAGGCTGGAAATCATTGTTCACTCTTAAAGTGGGACTCAGCACTGCCCGGTGCATTAGAGAGCAATGGAGGGCAAAGAAGCATGTCTTACACAAGAGTTTTGGATATTTACTACTGCGTAACACAAACCCTCCAAACTCGGTGGCTGAAAACAGCAACTCTTTTGACTCTCTCACACACTTCTGTGGGTTGACTGGGCTGAGCTGGGCAGTTCTTCTGCTCTTCTTGCTTGGGGACCCTCGTGCTTGCAAACAGAGGGCAGGCAGTTCACTGGGATGCTGAGAGGGCTGGTCCTGGGCCTCTCTGCCGCCCCTGTAACCTCAGGACTTCCCCTTGAGCCTCCCATGGGATCTCTCCAGCAGGTAATCGGACTTCTCCAAAGGTGGCCCAGCACTCCCCAAAGTGAGCATCCCAGGCAGTGTCAGATTACTCAGTAAGCAAGGTAAGCACGGGCTTACTCGTGCTTACTTACTAACCTGTACTGAACAATGTCACATTTTTTCACAACATCAAAGATTCTACTTCTAGATATGGCTGGCACTTGTCTCTCCCGTAGCACCTTCCTCCAGAATCAACGCCTCTCTTCAAATTTACAAGCCCTGACAGGGATGAGCTCTGGTGGCGTAGTGCCTAAGGCATTTGTCTGCCAACCAGAATCCTGGTGGTTCAAACCCACCAGCCACTCCTCAGAAGAAAGATGGGGCAATCTACTTCCGTAGAGCTACTGCCTCAGAAAGGAGGAGTCATGAGTTGAAATTGATTTGATGGCAATGAGTTTGGTTTGATTTTTGGCTTGACAGGGATGAAGTACCCAGTAAGCAAAGTATGCACAGACTTACTTGTGCTTACTGTTAATCTGTAGTGGACAATTTCACATGAGTTTCAAAGGAGCTCTGGTGGTGTAGTGCCCAAGGCATCTGACTACTAACCAGAAGGCTGATGGTTCAAACCCATCAGCCACTCCTCAGAAGGAAGACTGGGCAATCTACTTCCACAGAGATACTGTCTCAGAAACCCAAGGAGGCATTGCAATGAGTCAGAAATGACTTGACAGCAGTGAGTTTGGTTTTCGGTTGGTTTCTTCAAAGATGTGGCATCTGGCCCCTATGGTCCTCTAGGGCCATCTTTGGAGGCCAGGTACCTGAAAGGACCCATTTGGGTCTGAGCCTCAGCTCTTGCATTTACTAGCTGATGGCCCTGAGCCCTTACTAAGTTCTTAGACCCTCAGTTTTCTGATCTCTAAAAAACAGGAAGTATAATATCTGCCTCCCAGGGTGGCTGCAAAGTTTAAATTAAACAACATCAGCTCTGTGTTCAAGTCTGTCATGGCGCTTAAAATACAGAAGCTCAGATTGTTTCTTTATTTCTTTTCTAGGAAAAGATCAGCCAACATGATAATAAAAAATATGATCTGTTTTGAGCAGCACCCATGCATAAAGCTCTGACTGCTTATTGGAAGGAAACGACTTAGTCTTGGATGTCAAGTTTTTTCTAAGCTGGCCATAGAGTGAAGACTCATGAGGCAGATTCTGCGATTTTCTCCATTGTACCAATGAAACAACTGAAGCTTGGTGAGGTTGTGCCACTGGGCCAGAGACCACACAGTAATGGGCAAAGGCAAAAGGTTTGAATGTGGGAAGTACAGAACGTTCCTTACAAGCGAGGATGGCAAGACTTCATCTCACGTACTTTGGACATGTTATCAGGAGGGACCAGTGCCAGGAGAAGGACATCATGCTGGTGAAGCAGAAGATCGGTGGAAAAGAGGAAGACCGTCGGCACGCTGGACTGACAGTGTGGCTGCAGCAGGGGGCTCAGACACGGCAACGACTGTCAGGATGGGGCAGGCGAGGCAGGGCTTCGCTCTGTGCTATATGGATTCACTATGAATCAGAAACGACTCGAGGGCACCTAACAATGACAAAATTTCAGGGCAGGAGTGAGGCGAGGAGGCTACTCTTTGCTGAAGACACGTTTTTCATGGGATGGGTTAAACCTATGAAACAGTCATGAAGTTAAGAAGTAAAAGTTGAACTCAGAAAGAAACATTTTTTGTGTGTGTGTTAAACAACAATCTTATTTTGCAATTCCATCGCTCCTATTCCAAACGTATTGCCTAAAATAAGTTAATATTTTCTTTTTGAAGATATGTTATCATATCTAAATTACTATGCAGTTTTCCAATTAAGTTAGCTTCTAAATGAGTCTTCTAATTAGCCAGCCTGATAAGCTGAGTAGATAATATTAGTAGAAGTTGGGGATAGCAAGGTTCAAAGTGACAGGCAAAGTCCCCACAGAGCAGAGGTGGCAACTGCCTCTCTAAGGAGAACAGCATCCATGCTGAGTCCCAGGAGGAGAAACGGTGCTCTCTACAAACCTGGTTCAGGAAGAGGATCTGAGAGTGGTGGGAGAGCCTCCCTGGGCTCCTGAAGAATTCTCAGTGACCAAAGACCACAAATTATGCCATTAACATTTAATAGGATTCATTAATTCCACCAAGTCCTATTGAGCCACATGGGTTGGTGTCATGTTAGCTAGTAGAGACAGAAAATGGGAAATCCTAGCTCCTGACCTCAAGAGCTCAATATCTAATACCAAAACCTAAACAAACCCACTGCCATTAAGTCGATTCTCACACATAGCGACTCAATAGGACAGAGTAGAACTGCCTCACAAAGTGTCCAAGGCTGTCAATCTTTTACAGAAGCAGACTGCCTCATCTTTCTCCCATGGAGCAGCTGATGGATTTGAACCATTGATCTTTTGGTTAGCAGCCGAATGCATTAACCACTAAACCACCAGAGCTCCTTTCAAAATCTAATAAGGGAGATCAAAATGCAGATAATAATTACAATATAAGTGCTATAATTTTATATAATGATAATAATATGCCACACTTAAGAGGTAGAATTGATAGGATAGAAGTCCAGAGAGTAAAAGAAGTGTCTCTAACACCTGAGCTGGAACAGTTTAATTTTCCACCTTGTACTTTAGGCCCAGTTGTGATGTTTGACAAAAATTTAAACAATAACTGTCCAAGCCACAACATGGATGAACCCTGAGTGAAATAAGTTAGTTGCAAAAGGAAAAATACCGTATAGTCTCAGTTATATGAAATAAGCAATTTGGTCCCGACTCATAGCAACCTCTCTTTGAGATTCTGTGGTGGTATGTCTATGGAACTAGATTGCCCAATCTTCCTTTCGAGGAGTGGCTGGTAGGATTGAACTGCTAGCCTTCTGGTTTGCAGTCAAATGCCTTAGGCACTACGCCACCAGAGCTCCCATAGAAACCAAATGTTTTAGTAGTTACCAGGGATAGGAAACAAGGATGAAAGGAGAGATTTTGCTTAGTGGGCATCGAGCTGTGGTAGAATGATTTGGAAAAGGATAGCGAGAATGGCTGGACAACTTAAAGAATGTAGTCACTATCACTGAATTGTACATGTAGAAATGGCTGAGTTGGCGTATGTTTGACTATACACATTTTCACCACAATGGAAAAAAAGAAAAAATGATTGAATTATCATCTGGACTATAATCTTGACATTTCCACTTCCTAAATAACCTTTGCTCTTGAAAGGAGAGTAGCTAAAGCAAATGGAAAAAATGATGAAGTAAAAGATCTGAACAGAAGACTTCATAGGGCAGCTCAAGAGGACAAAGTAAAGAATTAGAATGAAATGTGTGAAGACCTGGAGATGGAAAATCAAAGGGGAAGAGTATGCTTGGCATTCTCAAGCTTAAAGAACTGAAGAAAAAATTCAACCTTGAATTGCAATATTGAAGGATTCTGTGGGCAAAATATTGAATGATGCTGCAAGCATCAAAAGAACAGGGAGAAGATCAAAAGAAGCTGGTAGAACCACTGTACCAAAACGAAACTGGTTGATGTTCAACCATTTCAGGAGGTGGCATATGATCAAGAACCAATGGTACTGAAGGAAAAAGTCCAAGCTACACTGAAGGAATCGGCAAAAAACAAAGGTCCAGGAAGTGCTGGAATACCCCTTGACATGTTTCAACAAATGGATGCAAAACTAGTTTATGCCAAGAAATTTGGAAGACAACTCTCTTGCCAACCAATTGCAAGAGATCAAATTGTGCCCATTCCAAAGAAAGGTGATCAAACAGAATGCAGAAATTATTGAACAATATCACACAAAAGTAAAATTTTGCTGAACATCATTTAAAAATGGTTGCAGCAGTACATCGATAGGGAACTGCCAGAAATTCAAGCCAGATTCAGAAGAGGATGGAACGATATACAACTGTTGTCCGATGGATCCTGGCTGAAAGCAAAGATACCAGAAAGATGTTTACCTGTGTTTTACTGACTATACAAAGGCAAAGGCATTTGACTGTGTGGATCATAACAAACTATGGATAACATTGCAAAGAATGAGAATTCCAGAACACTTAATTGTGCTTAAAAGGAACCTGTACCTAGACCAAGAGGCTGTTGTTTGAACAGAACAAAGGGATACTGTGTGGTTTAAAATCAGGAAAGGTGTGTGTCAGGGTTGTATCGTTTCACCCCACTTATTCAATCTGTATGCTGAGAAAATAATCAGAGAAGCCAGATTCTATGAAGAAGATCATGACATCAGGATTGGAGGAAGACTCATTAACAACCACAATATGCAGATGACACAACCTTGTTTGCTGGAAATGAAGAATACTTGAAGCACTTACAGATGAAGATCAAAGACTACAGGCTTCAGTACGGATCACACCTCAACATAAGGAAAACAAAAATCCTCACAACTGGACCAATAAGCAGCATCATGATAAACAGAGAAAAGATTGTTGTCAAGGATTTTATTTTACTTGGATCCATAATCAATGTCCACAGAAGCAGCAGTCAAGAAATCAAACAATATATTGTATTGTGCAAATCTGCTTCAAAGGATCTCTTTAAAGTGTTTAAGAGCAAAGATGTCACTTTGAAGACTAAGGTGTGACTGGCCAAAGGCATGGTATTTTCAGTAGCTTCAGTAGCTCTCTTGAGAGAGCTGGACAGTGATAAGAAGGACTGAAGAAAAATTGATGGTTTTGAATTGTGGTGTTGGTGAAGACCACTGAAGGTACAATGCACTGCTAGAAGAATGAACAAATCTGTCTTGGAGAAAGTACAGCCAGAATGTTCTTTAGAAGTGAGAATGGGCACACTTTGTCTCTCATACTTTGGCCATATTGTTAGGAAGGACCAGACCCAGGAGAAGGATATCCTGCTAGGTAAAGTGGAGGGTCAGTGAAAAAGGGTAAGACCCTCAACAAGATGGACTGACACCACGGCTGTGACAATGACTCAAGCATAGCAACAGTTGTGAGGAAGGCATAGGACCAGGCAGTTCCATGGGGGTCATTTTGGTATCATCTCTTCTGGCAGAGTCAGAAGGTATAGTACACACCCTACACATTTCCCGAGGGATGCCACTGCCTAAGTTCCCCCAGAAGCATGCCCTGAGATAAGGATTCAAGTGAAAGTAGTTTATTCTGGAGGTGAGCCCAGGAAATCCCAGCACTTGGGGAAGTGAGACAGGGTGGGAAAAAGGCATTAACTGCCCGTTATCAAGCTTGTTACCACTGCAGACAGCTGGAGCTCAGTGCGCCTGAGGGGCACGGGGCTCCGGGGCAGCCCAGGCAGACAGGCACACTCCCAGGCCTGGGATGTCTGGACCACTGGACACACACACATCCTTATGATTCTTTTCTATGGACTCACACACACCCTATATAAACCAAATTTGCTCTTGCTCTGTTTTCACATCGCTGACCCCACTCCAAGGCACAGACAGCTGGACCAGTCATTGAACACTCACTAGCACAGGCCCAGCCACGCTGTGCTTGCTGTGAGTGCAAGTGCCATCTACACAGAGCTTAAGGCAAGTTTGGAGCTGACATGACCAAGCCGGTTTCCATGCCCAGGAGTCTGAACTTTGTCAGAAAGTAAAGAATGTGTGGAGTGTAGCCTGTGGCCTCACATTCGTTATCAGTTGTCTCCAAGCAAGCTCCCTGCGAGAAGTAAATTAAGCCTTTTCCCAGAAGATACGTTATCACTCGTGTGGCCTTTCACATAGTATTCTAATGGAAATCATTAGAAGTTTGGCCCCTAGAGATAACAGGCCTGCCCTGCCCAGCCTGCTGAGCCTGTGAATCAGTGATAATGCCGCATCCTGCCCCAGCTCCTTCCTTCCCTCCAGCTGCCAGACCCTCCAGAGGAATTCCAAGGGTTTCTAGGAAAGGGAAGGGCTAGAGGGTCAGCTCTAAGCCCCCTGCAGCTGGGGCAAGGGGGGGGGGGGGGGAATGTTCACGGAGTTGCCGACTGTGTGTCAGACCATGAGGACAGACAGAGATGAAAAGAAATTGACCCCCGCCCCCAAAGATTATTAGTGGTGACTAGGAGCTGGTAGCATAGTGGCTAAAGCACTTGACTGCTAACCAGAAGGCTGGCGGTTCAAACCCACCAGCCACTCCTCGGAAGGAAGGTTGGGCAATCCTACTTCCGTAGTGATACTGCCTCGGAAACCCAAGGAGGGGTCGCTATGAGTTGGGGCCGACTCGACGGCACATAACAACAACAACAACAGGAGCAGGAAGGGAGCTCTGGTAGCATAGTGGCTAAGGCACTTGACTGCTAACCAGAAGGCTGGGGGTTCAAACCCACCAGCCACTTCTCGGAAGGTTGGGCAATCTACTTCCATAGTGATACCACCTCAGAAACCTAAGGAGGGGTCGCTATGAGTCAGGTCCGACTCGATGGCAAATAACAACAGGGGCAGGAGAGAGGTGGAAGGGGAGTCATGGCTTAGGGGACACTGAGTTTCTGTTTATGGTGATGGAAAAATTTGGAAATGGATAGTGGGATGGTTGTATAACATGACGGACATCATTAATGTCACTGAATTGTATGCATAAAAATGTTGAAATGACACGTTTTGTTATATATATTTGTAACACACACACATATGTACACATATATATGTATATGTATGAGAAACATTGTCCTTCCTCTAAGAAACACAGAATAAAAAACCCAAATGTCCATCAACTGATCAATGGATACATAAAATATGGTACATCCATACAATAGGATATTATTTACATGTGAAACATGAATGAAGAGCTGATACATGCTACAACATGGATAAACCCCAAAACACATCAGGCCAAATGAAAACAGCCAGACATAAAAGGTCACACGGTATGAAACCATGTATACGAAATGTCCAGAATAGGTAAACCTGTTAAGACAGAAAGCAGATTGGTGGTTGCCAGGGGCACGGGGAAGGGGAAATTGGGAGGAAACAAAAGAAAAAGTGACTTATGTCACAGCAAGTTAAAAACTTAAAACAAGATATTAGATAACTGTGTTCTCTGAAGTCTTTGGCTGCTTTGCCATGAGAAACTGGTTACTTGCCATCTTTTTTGAAGGTGCTAGAGTCATGTCACATTGCACAGCTCCCTTCTCCAACCTCAGAGGACTAACTTTCCTTCCCTTTCCTTCCCTCCCTTTCTCTTCTCTCTCCTCCCCTTCCCTCTCCTTCCCTCCCCACCCCTTCTCTTCTTACATAGATGTTTTATCCTGCTCTTTGCTGAGTGTCTCTCCATCCAGGTGACACTGCATCGTTTAAAATCAAGAAGGGAGTGCGTCAGGGTTGTATCCCTTCACTATACTTATTCAATCTATATGCTGAGCAAATAATCTGAGAAGCTGGACTATATGAAGAAGAATGTGGCATCAGGATTGGAAGAAGGCTCATTAACAACCTGCGATATGCTGACGACACAACTTTGCTTGCTGAAAGTGAGAATGACTTGAAGCACTTACTGATGAAGATTGAAGAATACATTCTGAAGTATCGATTACATCTCAATATAAAGAAAACAAAAGTTCTCACAACTGGACCTATAAGCAGCATCACAATAAATGGAGAAAAGATTGAAGTTGTCAAAGACTTCACATTGCTTGGTTCTACAATTGACGCCAATGGAAGCACCAGTCAGAACATCAGATGACGTATAGCACTGGGCAAGTTGGCTGCAAAGGACCTCTTTCAAGTGCTGAGAAGTGAAGAAGTCTCTTTGAGGACTAAGGTGCACCTGACACAAGCCACGATATTTCCAGTCGCCTCGTATGCATGTGAGAGCTGGACAATGAATAAGGAAGACCAAAGAAGAGTTGATGCTTTTGAGTTGTGATGCTGGCAAAGAATGCTGAAAGTACCATGGACTGCTAAAAGAACTAACAGATCTGTCCTGGAGGAAGTGCAGCCAGAATGCTCCTTGGAAGTAAGAATGGCCAGACTTCGTCTCACCTACTTTGGTCATGTAGTCAGAAGGGACCATTCCCTGGAGAAAGATGTCATGCTTGGTAAGGTGGAGGGTCAACAAGTGAGGAGAAACGCTCAACTAGATGGATTGACACAGTTGCTGTGGCGATGGGCTCAATCCCCGTATAGCAGGGATCACAAAGCTGGCGCGGGACTGGGCAGTGTTTCATTCTGCTGTGCATAGGGTCACTGTGAGTTGGAGACAATTCCATGGCAACTAACAATAACAACATATGGTTTTTATACAAATGGCAATGGACTATGCCCATTGTCTCACACTTTGCTTTTTAATATTAATTAAAATCTTAGAGATCTTTCCAAATCCAGATATAGATAATTTGCTCATTCTTAATGGATATGTAGAATGTATCACTTCTGTTAAATACTTACCATCCAATGGGCATTTAGGTTGTTTCCAATTTTTCCCTCTGAATAAACCCTGCCATGAACAACCTTACATACATGATGTTTCATGCAGGTATGAATTTATCCACAGGTAAAATTTCTAGCCAGTTTGTCATACTGTGGTGGCTTGGGTGTTGCTACAGTGCTAGAAGCTATGCCACTGGTATTTCAAACACAGGACACGTTTCAGTGGAGCTTTCAAACTAAGAAGAAAGGCCTGATGACCTATTTCTGAACACTAGCCAGTGAGAAGCTTATGGATCACAACAGAGGATCTTCCCATGGTGCTGGGAGACAAGCCCCTCAGGTTGAAAGACACTACACAACAAACTGAAACATACCAAGGATCATGAAGAAAGCTGGGGACCAGGCAATATTTCATTCTGTTATACACAGAGGTACCCTGAGTCACAGCCCACTCGACAGCGACAACAACAACAAAACAAAAGCGCTTAGAAGTGGACGTTCTGAGTCACAGAGTTTTGTGCACCTTAAACTTTGGCATATATTGTCAAACTGCCTGCTATAGAGAGGTTGTGCCAATTACACTCTCATCACGCATGGCTGAGAGTTCCTGTTTCCCCACACCATGGGGGATGTATTTGAAAATATTGTCAGGGGCTAGATAATACAGAGCATTGTATATAATAAGTTTGAACTTGACCCACAGACCACAGAAACCCTTTGGAGGGTTTAGGCAGAGGGTGAGGATGGTGAGGTTTGGTTTTTGAAAGAAAGCTTATTTTCATGGTGACATCTAATAAATTTTGTAGTGAATTTTTAACTTCTAACAGGCATGAGTGATAACATGATGAATCAGAGGGGGGTATAAATATCCATTAGGATTTAAGCCATGCTCAGGGGCGAATGTTTATCATGTGGATACAGCTGCCACTGTAAGACAATAGGATTGGACGTGAGTGCAACTGGGTTTCTTTGCCATCTCATAACTCTAACTTTCCTGCCATTTTAATTTTATCATGTTTCCCACATGCTGATGGCTTCTCGTGAAACATTTGGCCCTCAAGAGTAATGACGCAGATTGTAGACAGGAATTTTTATCGGAAGCTAACAGTCGACTGAACAACAGACAGACAGGGGAGATAAATGTCTTTCTCTAGAAGACCATTTTGCAAATCTGATTTGGAGCAGTGAACAAAGAGCTGCGGGAGGCAAAATGCAGACACATTCATGTAGAGTCTTTTGTTTATAAAATCAAAGGTAGCCATCATGCTGTGAGGCAAAGAGAGAAGGAAGATTGATGGTGGGTGGACTGCGCAGCACAGGCATATGAAGGACCAGAGAGTGTGCGCCATCAAATGCAGCAACAGTGGTTCAAGAATGAGTGCAGTGGGCTTAGCGCTCTTAGGGCTTGTTCTGAGTTTTAAGGCCACCATTGCTGAGCCAGAGGAGGGCAACCTTTGCTCTAAGAGTCAGGTGGCCTTCAGAGATGCTTGCTATGAATTTGTGCCACTTGGACGGACCTTCCATGGTGCCCAGGGCTGGTGCGAGGAGCAAGGAAGCCATTTGATCTTCATCCGAGATGAAGGCACCCAGCAGTTTCTGCAGAAGCACATCTCCCAAGACAGGGAATGGTGGATTGGACTCATAGGAAACCTGGCATCGAATGGAACCACAGAAGGTAGGGGCTGGGCTAGCTATGTTTATGGGAAGCTGTGGTTGTGATTCTCACCATCACTTCACACCCAGAGCTCCATAGAGCAAATTAATCTTTTCAGTTCTCATGGTAATGATACCTTCCTCTGTTATTGGCAAGATATGAACTAATTCAGGTACAGTACCTAGCACAGAAGGAGCATTAGTTGTGCAATGGCTAAGCATTTGGCTGCTAACCAAAAGGTTGGCAGTTTGAACCCACCCAGCAGCTGCATGGGAGAAAGACCTGGTGACCTGCTGCTGTAGATTAGCCTGGAAAACCATATGGAGCAGTTCTACTCTGATCCATGAGGTCGCTGAGAGTAGAAAACCAACTTGGCGGCACCTACCACCACCGCCGAGCACAGAATCCAGCAAGCTGCCCGTCCTCTACAAGTGTCGGTTCTTTGCACGAGCCTAATAATGACAACAGTTAGGTCTTCTCCCCAGAGCCATGTTGGGCACCATCCCAAGTGCTTTACGTCCCTTATTGTGCTGAATCCTGACAACTGAGATCGTTATTACTGTTGTTATTGATAAGGAAACTGAGGCCCAGAAAATGATTGCTAAGTGAATTTCAAAGGGCTTGCACATGTTTTTCCCCACTTGTGATGAGATTCAAGAGGTGACGTGTCCAGCACAGACCGATGCACGTTAGAGAGTCTCATCTTACTGGTCTTCCTGGAAATTCATACTTAACCTTTCCTCTGTTTCTCCCTCACGCCCAGGCACCGTCAGGTGAGTCCTTCTCTACACACCTGCAGGACCCTGCCCACACTTCGGTGAGAACACTGTGGGCATGGCTTAATTATCTATGTCTATGTTTTTCTCCCACCCTGGCACTAGGAGCTCTTCAAGGGAAGGCCCACTAGAGAATAAAGTCATTGGTACTTCATCCTTATCCCAACCTCATGAGGTGGGCATTGATATTTTTTTTTTTGGGGGGGGGGTACTCTCTTTTAAACAAATTAATTTCATTGTGGTAAAATATAGAACCAAAGCTTTTGGAAATATTTGGGAATGGTTAATGGTGAGGGTCCCACACCATGATGAACATGATTAACATAATTAATGTCACTGGACTGTACACATGGAGATTACAGAAATGGCAAATGTTTTCTTACCAATGTATTTATCACACTTTTTAAAAAGTTTGCTGTTGTAAGCATTTTTAACTGCACCATTCAGAGCCATTACTTGCATGCATCACGTTGTGCAACCATCAACAAATATTTTTTATCCCCCAAAAAGAAACTCAGCACTCCGTCTGCAATAACATTCTATTCTCCTTTTCCCTCAGCCCCAGTACCACTAACAAATTTTGGTTTCTAAACATCTGCTTATCTCATGTATGTGAGATCAGACATTTGTCCTTGGTCTCTAAACATCTGCCTATCTCATGTATGTGAGATCAGACATTTGTCCTTTTGTACCTGGCTTATTTCCCTCGGATAATATTGTCAAGGGTCATCCATGTTGTACCATGTATCAGGACTTCATTCCTCTTTATGGTAGAATAATATTCCATTGCATGGATGGACCACTGTGTGTATCCACACATCTGTTGATGAGCTCTTGTATTGTTTTGAGGTATTGCTACTCTTACTTCATGAGATGAGGAAAGTGAAGTCCAGAGAGAGGAAGTGTCCTACTCAAGATGATGGGGCTAGTGGAGGGCAGTGAGGGATCACACCAGGTGGGATCAGCTCCTAGGTTCAGATTTCTCCCGTACATCACACTGCCCGCTCAGACACTGCCTTTGTCCCTGTAGAAATGACTGGGTTTTAGAAACGAGTAACTTTTGCAGTACATCAGAGTGGACGGAAATGCCTTAGTAAATGAGCAGCTGGGGAAGTACATTCAAGAACTCACAGATAAAAGGATTTGAATTCTGAATGTGCACATTCAGACAATGCTATTGAATAGGTTATTGATTTGCAGAGGCAGTGATTGCAAATTTCTGTATATGGAGCATCTATTCATATGCAGTTAAAGGAGAGATGTCCATTGAAAATCTCTAAGGAGTGCTGTGCAGCTGTTAGAGAAAATGAGGTAGATCTAACTAGGCTAATATGCAATAATCTCCAATACTGAATATTATTTAAGAAGCAAGGGCAGAACTCTGTGTGTTAAGAAAGCATTTATGTAAATAGATCTCCAGAACCCACACCAAACCCACAGCCATCGAGTCGACTCCTACTCATAGTGACCCTTTAAGACAGTATAGGAGTGCCCCATAGGGTTTCCATGGCTGTAAATCTTTAGGAAGCAGACTGCCTCATCTTTCTCCTGCAGAGCATCCGGTGGGTTTGAACTGCTGACCTTTGGTTAGCTGAATGCTTTAACCACTGCATCATCAAAGCTTCTTAAATAGATTTCAAGCCCCATAAATGCTGATACAGGGATAAAATTCTGTCTGGAATGATTCAAGAGAAACAAACAAACAAAAAACAGGGAGTAGTCCATCAGCTGGGGGAGGTAAGAAGTCTACTTTTTTGTACCTTTTTGTAGTATTTGATTTTGTTTTCCCCACACATGTGGATTTCTTTTCTTTTTTAAAAATATTAACCAATATATTTTTGTCTTCATAGCAAATAATTTAGGTCAATATTATTCAAACTGTTTTCTAGCTGTCTAGCGACCTTGAAATGCTTTTGTTTTGAGCATGTGTGTGCACACAAGCACACAGGCACACCAGCACACACGTGTACACACACATGAACATGTGTGACACCTCTTCAACAGTCATCAGTGTATTCACGGCTAGAAAGAGCCTTACACTCTCAGCGAGGCAGAACTCCTCTGACAGCCCCGGGACTAGCTTCTGTGCTCTTTCAGACCAGGGTTAGATGGCCCTGACGCACCAGCTGTTCAAGCCAACAGCCTGCCATGGGCTCTCCAATGTGGTGTCCCCGTTGTAGGCAGAGTTCTTATGTATGAATGTTTGAAGACAATGGTAACGAAATGCCCATTCTCCGGTAGGGGAAAGAGAGACCTCTGGGCTTGCAAGATTTATTTAGCGCCTGCTACACACCAGGAGTTACGCTAAAGGCAAACTCTGCATGTAGAAAGGGTGAAAAGAAAAGGTTGAGTCCTGATGTCGTTCCCCTCTCAGGGCTGGGCACTTGGCTGGAAACCTCCAATGTGACCTACAGCAACTGGGGTGGAGGACAGGCCATGCTTGGCCCCGATGCCTGCAGCTACATCGGGAAAGGCCCCTTCTCCCAGTGGGCCACCACAGACAACTGCTCCCTAGAGTTCGCCTTCATCTGTGAATCTGGTGAGCTGCCTATGTGGGGGTCCGCCCTTCCGCCTCCCGCTCCCCTCCCTTCCTGCCGGCCGCCTTCTCCAGTTCGCTTTCTTTCTCTCCTCTTCTGCCTCCGTCTCTTGGACCCTCTTTCGCTTGGTCTCCCAGTTCTCTCCCGACTTCCTTTTGCTTTTCCTTCTCTCATTCTTTCTGTTCCTGTGTGTCTCGCTGGCTCTCCCCCTGTATCTCTGTTTGGGTCTCTCTCCGTTTGTCTCTGCCTATCTCTCTGTCTCTCACTCGACCTTTCTAAGCCCCTGCCTTCCTTTCTCAGTGCCCACCTACCTGGATTTTTCTGGGTCTCCCGGTATCTCTCCCCACCTCTAACGTGGCGTTTTCCCATTTCTCCTGTGTCTCTCTGCCCACATGTCTGTCTCCCCTGAAGTGACGACCATCCGTGTCTCCTCCCACACTACTCTCTGCTGTGCACTTGTCTGCCGCCCTGTCTCCCTGGCTCCTCTCTTGTACACACCCCAGCTCTGCTGACCCCTCTTCCGGTGTGTTCCATGCAGTGAGACAGGGGGCCAGGGTGCTGCTCCTCCTCACCCCTTGACTCCTGCCACCCACCACCCACCACCCGCCACCTTGAGTCCCCTCACCAGCCCTCCCCAGGCCCCCATGTTTGCTCTTGCACCCTGTCCAATGATGCCTGCCATGGACTCCCCCTGTAGGCCCTGGCAGCCCCTTTGTGGGGACTGGATGTGAGAGCTTTGGCAGAAGCTGCCTGTGACCCCAATCCAGGTCTTGCCTGCCATGCGAGTCCGGTGTCTGAGCTGAGCCACTAGGCCACCCAGGTCCTCTGATCTTGCTTCTCTGATATGCTCAGAGTCCTCAAGTTACCCTGACGGAAGCTTCCTGGGTCCAGCCTCCTCCCCAGCTCCAGGCCTCCCTCTGGGTTTTGAACCCTTAAAGGGGCCCTGCTCATGCCCCTATTTTCCCTTCTCAAAATAGAGGCCACGTGTTTGACCAACTCTGCAGGTTAAGCCTGAGAACTAGGAAGCTTCCTAGGAACTGTGTGTTACGAGTTTTCCTCTCTTCTTGTCACAGCCATCCTGACCTACCTCCACCAAGCCCAACTCTCACTCTGTCAGCCCTGGGGTCCTGGAGCCCCTGGCACAGAGGTAACACTGTGACTAGCTAACGTTTATTCTGCAGGAGTTTCAGGGCAGAGCTAAACACCGAGGATGCATTTACTCATCACAGCCACAAAAGAAGCTACTATTAGGCCAATTTTAAAGCTAAAGAAAACGAGGCTCAGGATGGGAAAGTTCCTTGCCCAAGCCACACATCTAGGAAGTGACAGAGTGGAGACATGAACTCAGGTTTGCCTGTGGTTGGAGACAGGCAAGCCAAAGAACTCAGGCAGCTACTAGAAGCTGGAAAAGGCAAGGAAATGGATTCTCCCCCAGAGCCCTGCTGACCCATGGCTCTTAGCCCAGAGAGACCCATGCAGACTTCTGACCTCCAGCACTGTGAATCAATAGATGTCTGCTGTCACAAGTCCCTAAGTTTGTGGCAATCTGCTATGGCAGCAATAGGAAACTAATCCAGATTATGGACATGACTTCTGCCCCGCGACGTTCCGACCAGGCAGAAAGGCCTGAGTTTGAATCCAGAGTTTCCCATGTTCTGGCTGTGTACTCCTGAGCCAGGCCAGGCAGGTCAACAAATATCCCCTGAGCCATGACAAAGTGACTCCGATGACCCCCATATTCTTAACTATAAAATGGGGAGGATAACAATACAGCTAATGGAGTTGAAATCACTTATTAATTCAACAGATATTTATTGAGCATCTACTATGTTCCAGGCATTGTTTTAAGGTAAGACTCAGGGAATGAACTCAATAAAATAAAATGGCCACTTATACAGCCCTTACTCTACATGTTTGAACTAATTTAATCTTAACAACCCTACAGGGAGCTCTGGTGGCGTAGTGCCTAAGGCACGTACCTGCTACCCAGAAGGCTAGTGGTTCAAACCTACCAGCCACTCCTTGGAAGGAAGGTTGGGCAATCTACTTCCGTAGTGATACTGCCTTGGAAACCCAAGAAGGAGTCACTATGAGTCGGATCCGACTCCATGGCAGTGAGTTTGGTTTTGGTTTTTGGTAACAACCCTTCAAAGGAGCTGTGGTGGCATAGTGCCTAAGGCATTTGACTGTTAACCAGAAGGTTAGCAGTTCAAATCCACCAGCCACTCTGCAGAAGGAAGATGAGGCTATTTACTTCTACTATCTACAATCTACAATCTACTAAAGATTTACTGCCTTGGAAACCCAATAGGGGTCTTTATGAGTTGGAATCACTCAGTATCAGTGGGTAGTAGTTACAGCCCTAAAAGTAGCCCTGGTGGCACAATGGTTAAACAATCAGCTGCTATCCAAAAGTTTCGTGTTTCAAACCCCCTCAGAGATTCCCTGGAAGACAAGCCCAGCAAGCTGCTTCTGCAAGGTCATACCCTTGAAAACCCTGTGGAGCACAGTTCTACTCTGACATGCATGGGGTTGGCATAATGACAACAACCATGAGCCTGTGAGGTGTGTCACTGGCAGGCCCCTTAATAGAGAAGGCACAGAGAAGCTGACTAATTTGCAGAAGGCCACACAGCCAGTACAAGAGGCAGGCAGTCTGGCTCCAGAGAGAAGCTCTTGACCACCACCCTATATTTATCCCACCTGCTGCGCTGGCCTGTGGGGTCCTTGTATCTCACAGCCCTGATCCCGGGAACCTTGCAGACGTTGCTCACATGTGGCATGCATCCTAAGGCGTTGCCTTTCCCTCCCACAGGGCTCGGCCAGAGCCTGGACTGTGATGGCTCCAATGCCACCATGCACTGTGGCTCTGGAGACATCATCCAGATGCAGGATGCCTTCTACGGGCGCCAGACCCCTCACTATTGCACCTGGGACGCTGGGCACCCTGCAGACCTGGAGGAGGAATGCAGCTGGGTCAACGTGAAGGATGAGGTAGCAGGTAGGGCCCCAAGGACTCTGCAGGTCTGGCTGTGTGCAGAGGGCAGCTGTGGATATTTTATGCCCAAGGCTGCCTGGCAAAGGCTTCTGGAAGGCTCTAATTATCTTTACCTCTGAGCCTAAGCCTCAAACACGTGGGAACGCCAGGCATCTCTGTCTATAGCATGGAGCAGGGAAGCTCCATTGCTGGACACAGAAACCAGTCCTGGTGATCAGGTGAGCATTTTGCTAGGAACAACATTTTACTTTCTGAATTTTTAAAATTTTGAAATGTTTTAAACCTATAGACCTAAAAAAAAAAGAAAAGAAAAATTCAATGAATTTGCATATACCCACTACTGAATTTTGTCAGTAGTAACATTATGCTATATTGGTTGAAGACTCCCTTATTTAACAAAAAACAACGAATACATCATCACAGGTAGAGCTGAGGGCCTGCGTGCCCCTCCTGAGTCCTGTTCCTGTCATGCTTTCAGAGTTTATTGATCATAGGCATGATTTCCTCTTCTATTTACGGGTCCCTAAACATTACGTCTCACAGCGACCCTGTAGACTGGACTGAATGGCAGTGAGGTTTTTTTTTTTAAACATTACATAGCATTGTTTTGTAGATTTTAATGTTTATCTAAATTATATTGCATGTGCCATTCTGTAATTTCCTTCTTTGTTTTATTTTGTTTTTTGCTCCACATCTTGCTTTTGAGATGTGTCATCCATCTTGACACATGCCAGTTCAGCTTATTCTTTTAATCCATCATGTGCCTACTCTCTTGTTGTGGGACATATGGGCTGTTTCTTAATCTTTGTTCTCATAAGTTATGCCAAGACAAATATTCTTTCTTTTTTAAATTGTGATTTGGGTGAAAGTGTACAGAGCAAATTGCATGTGGTTGATGTCCCCTGGGACTATGGTACCGAGCCCACAGATTCAACTACCTGGTCCCTCTGGGTAGTTGCCTGTGACCAAGAAGTGACTACAATCTTGTCCCTTGTCAGCTCTACTATACACCTGGGAATTCTTACAGATCATACAAATATACTTATAGGACCATTGTCTGTCAACCCTATACATGGTCTTGAGTACAGTCCCCACTTCATAGACATACCTAATAGTTCAGTCTGTCCACACATCTATCCACCCATATACATGTTTGCCTTCATTGACAACACAGTACTGTATGTGCAAAAGGGTTCATCTTTCTGTTTATACCTCCCATGTACCTCTCTCTGTCTTCCTCTTCCTCCATGCCACCATGTTGATCACTCACATTTGGTACATTGCCCTTCTCTTCACCCAAATCAATACTTATCTCTACCTATCTAACAGTGTTCCTACCCTACCTCCCACCC